AGAGGGGGGGGGGGGGGGGGGAAGACGAGGGGTCCTTCAAAGCAATAGCACTGCTAGCAGCCTGGGGCCAGACCCCGGGCTCCCCAAGGTTCTGCTGTGTTGAAATGCTGCGTGCAGCCCGGGGCCAGCTGGGGTGTCCCCAGGCAGCACGTGGCGTTTCAAAGCGTCAGCGCCGCGTGGAGCCTGGGATCAGCAGGGGACTCCTGCGCTGACCCTGGGCTTCATGCGGTGCTGCTGTTTTGAAACACCACGGAGAGCCCAGCAGCAGGGTGCAAGTGGCATTTCAAAGCGGCGGTGCCGCATGGAGCCCAGGATTAGCTGGAGTCCCCAGCTGATCTTGGGCTCCATGTGGCACTTTCACCTTAGAAGTACTGTTGCTATGCTTCAAAGGTGGAATCGTCCTATTGACTAATCGAATAGTCAATGCAAAATGCATCAACTATTCAATTAGTTAATATTTAACATCCTTAGTGGAGGAAAGCCCTAATTAGAGGAAGAGGGGGAGGCTATAGAAAGCTGGGAAGCTGGCTGCAGGAGGGGGCTCTTGCAGGGAAGTAGGCCACAGTCATTCCTGGAGTGGAAGGAGTTGGAGTTGGAGGTTGGCAAAGTTGGAGCAGAGGGATGCCAGATGGTAGGGAAAAGGCCCAGGGAAATAGCAGCGAATAGTAGGATTATATAGGGACTGACTCAGTGGTGTGGTCAGAAGGGTGGGCAGGCAATGGTGTGTTGAAGGACCCACTGGCTAAGAGACTCCAGCCCCTGGGGTCCATGTGCAGGAAGGGTTTGCCCCCCCTCTGCCCGGTGCTTCAGCCCAGGAGTGGGGCTTGAGTGCAGGTTCTGCTCCATGGCTGGAGCGCCAGGCAGGTGGATGGAGTCGGGTGAGCCCTCAACCCTGCTCCCCGGCTACAGGACCGGGTGGGCGGATGCAGTGGGACCAGCCCTCCATCCCATTCCCTGGTGGAGCAGGGTTAGTCTCCCTGTCCTGACTCCATGCTGCAGCACTGGGTGGGCTGATGGAGCACTCCACCCTGCTGCCAGCTGGCGTGCAGAGCAGGCTGGTGGAGTGGGGCAGGTGCTGAGGCATAAGGCTGGGAAGGGGGGAGTCTGCAGGGGTGAGCCTGGATGCAATGTGGGTGGCTCATGGCCCACACATGGCTATGCTGTGACTACTTATCAGGTCCCTGGGCTGGAAGGTGGATCTGGATTTCTCTGCCAGTCTGTACGAAGTGGCCCTGGTGTTGGAGATGCCAGCCAGTGGGTCTGGACTTGAAATTCCTCGGAAGGGAGGACCTGAGTGACCTGGCCAGAGAGCCAAGCCACGAAGAGGAAACTGCAGGTCTGAATGTGAGCAGGAGCCACAGAGGAAGGCAGGATAAAGAAAAAACACTGCCACAGGAAGAGTGAGAGCCTTGAGGGATGACCCACAGGATCTGCCACTCATAGTGAGTGGGCCTTATGACTCGACTCAATGCAATCTTAAACATTGGAAGCATACTTGCAATTTGGTAGCAGGTTTAAAACAAAGAAATATTTCATTAAACAGCTTAGTCAACCTGTGGAACTCCTTGCCAGAGGATATTGTGAAGTCCAAGACAGCAACAGGGTTCAAAAAAAGTTAAATTCATGGACCATCTATGGCTGAGCCAGAGACAGACTTTCTCCTATATCATTTGGGCACAGCACCACTATCCTCCACCTAACAGCCTGGGTTATTAGCTGTTGTTGTGCACCTGAGGAATTGATTTGTGGTCAGGCCAATCTGGATCGGTGATTGACCCTTACATTGGAGAACACCCATAAATGCAAATGGGAGTTGCACCTTCTCATAAAGAGAATGTATGTTTCGCTGTTGTCATCTTTGAAGTCGAACTTCTGCCTGTTCTCTGCACCCTATGTCATGTGATAATCTGAACCTTTGGCATCCACCTCAGTCATTATCTGCTGCCCATGTTAAACCCCCAAAAACTGCCCCATATGGTGCTTTGAGATGAACTTCTAGTCAAG